CAGTGGCCACGCAGCCACTGAACTGCATCTTTTCTTTGTTTCATGTGGTTTCTACTTATTTATGGAGTGCCATGGTTATTCATGATGCTTTACAAACCATAAAAACAAGGTCTCCACCCTACAGAATTTACAGTGTAATTGAACAGACATGCTGCATGGCTGACAGGTCAGGCATGCCAGGAGATGGTGTTGGTATTATATAACATGGGCGTGGAGGGCTTCTTCTGGCGTTATAAATACTTTCCAGTTACAAGGGCCTTTCATCTGGGATCCCCAAGCACTTTAGAATAGCAATAACCTCGATTGCTTTCTAAATGCACTTTCCATAAACTGTTGTGGGGACTGAGTAAATGCTTTTAAATGTCTATTAATTGATCTGTACATCTGTTCAGTGTCCATATTAAATAGCATGGATGTAAACAGACAGTTTAGGAGAGGTCTGCTTTGGGCTGTGGTCTGTTGCTCACACATTACAAACCCCAAGAGGCCTGGGAGCCTCACCACGGCATTGGGAGGGCCAGCTGGGCACCTGGGTATCTTCCTGGGCGAGATGCTTACTCACCCTGGCCTCAGCCCTTCTTGGGGGGTCTGGTTCACCATTTATGAGTGAGTGAAAATTTCAAAGTCAAATGAGCTCAGAGAGTGACTTCACATGGGAGAAAGTCAAGAGCCATTTCTTGGATGACAACATGGTCAGTGATTGGTCTGTCATCTTGTGCCCTCTTACTCCCTCCCCCAATTCGTGGTTCTTCAAAATAGCAGCATTTATGTCTCATCACAATTACTGAGGAGATTCCCCTTCTTGTTCTCTCTCAAAGTTGACAAATGCATTCAAATACAAAGGATGCTTAGTCTTAAAAGCTCACTCAGAGGCTTATGACATAGGCAGCCTTCCTTCTACCCATCCTCCTCCAAGTTCTCTGCCTAAAATTAAGATAGATTCACATCATTGTCCCTTGCATTTTAAAAAAAAAAAACCTACTAAATAATGAAGTTCAAAGTGCCTCAGTCATATCGGTGTGACCTGTTTGGCCTCAGCCTACTGGGTGATCTCTTCAGCTTCATCTCTGTCCATGTGACCTGCGGTTTTGCCTATACCCAAGAAGTTGCCCCTTCCCCTGAGAGCCCAAGCTCTCCCACTCATGCCTCCTGTGATAGCTTTCATATTCCCTCCGCCCATGCACTGCTGTCCGTGCAAGCCCACCTCCAGGATCCTCACCTCAGTAGCCTTCTCCAGGCTCCTCACCACCCATCCTCATCCCTCCCACCCTTCTGACTTGCCTGCTCCTACTTCTCTCCACTCTCATAATCTGTTATCACAACTGTCACCTCACCTTGCAGGCACTGTGCACATCTGTCTTCTCACCCTGTAGAACAGGAACCATGGCTCACATTTAGTAATCGCTCAGCAAAGTTTTGTGGAAGGGCCCTTTTGGTACATTAATGAAGCCTTGGAAGGGGGAGTACAACTACAGCCTGAGATCCATGTAAATAAACTGGATTCCTCATGTTGTAGGATGTTGCCTCACTTCCTGTGAGGTCACTCCACAATCTAGTTGATCAATCAGTGTTCATATTATAAAACATTTTTTATATTAAAAAAACTAATTTCAGGTGTTTTTGGCTTGTTATACATTGCTTTAGTTTTCCTCGTTGTGATAAAACATATATAACATTTAACATTTTATTCATTTTTGAGTACCTAGTTCTTTGGCATTAAGTACATGCACTATTGACACCATCCATATCCAAAACATTTTCATTTTCCCAAACAGAAACTTTGTACACACTAAACACTAATTCTCAATTCCCTCCACCGATATCCCCGAGAAACACCATTCTATTTCCCATTTCTATGAGTTTGACTATTTTAAGTACCTCATATAATTGGAATCATACAATATTTGTTCTTTGTGACCAATGTATTTCACCCAGCATAATGTCTTCAACATTCATTCATATTGTAACCTGTGTCCAAATTTCCTGCTTTTTCAAGACTTACTAATATTCCAGTGTGCATATTAACCACATTTTGCTTATCCAGTCATCAGTTGATGGACACTTAGATTGTTTCCACATTTTAGTAATTGTTCATCATGGTGTTGTATAGATGTTCAGAAATCCCTGCTTTCACTTCTTTTTGTGTATACCCAGAAATGAAATGACACAATCATATGTCAATTCCATGTTTAAATTTTTGAGGACTTGTCATTCTGTTTTCCACAGCAGCTGTGCCATTTTACATTCCCACTAACAGGGCACAGGGGGTTCCATTTTTCTCATTTGCCAATGCTTTATTTTCTTTGTTTTTTAATTAAGCCATCCTAATGGGTCTGCAGTATTATCCATTGTCATTCTGACTAAATTCAGTTTTGAGCTTCTGTACTCACTGTCTCAGTGCCTCATGGGTAACCCAATCCAACTATATACCACCATCTCTATTTCTTCCTCATAAGACTCCAGCTGCTTCCTATGAAGACTCAACTGAAGAGTAGCTGGGAGTGAAGTCTGTTGTGTTTCTCCACCCAGGTCAGCAGGGGACATTCCCACAAGACCGTCATAGCCATTCAGCTAACTGATGACCTGTCAGCAGGGCTCTAGATGACAAGCAAAGGGTGCTTTAGCTTCCCACACTCTTCTCTCCCCATTCTAGTCCCAGCCCCATCCTGTCCTCTTCACAATGTCACAATCAAAGATGATCCAACTGCTCCCACCACAGCTCAAACAGGGTGCTACTGGCATTCAGACTGAGACCACTTTCATTATGCAGATCAGTCCCACACACTGCTAAACACCAAGAGTGGCCCCCCAGCCATTGTGACAACCAAAATGCCCCCCTATATCACCTTAGAATCCTTCCCTAAACATGGAGGTTGCCCAGGTGAGAATATGCAAAAGAATCTGGAGATGCCCAGCATCTCTCACCCACTCAGACAAAGCCACAGTTACCATAAAGAAGCCTCATGCTCATACACTTCAGTAACATCTTTGAAGATACAGTACCAATGCAAGATAGTGAAGGAAAGAATAAACAGATGAGACTACATCAAGTTAAAGACCTTCTGTACAGCAAAAGAGACATTACAAAAAACAAACAGACATCCCACTGATTGGGAAAAAAATTTCTGGCACAAAACTAGTGATAAAGGATTTATCACAAAGATATACATAGAAGTGATGAAACTCAACTAAAATAAACAACTCCATCAAAAAATGGGCAGAAGAGCTAAAAAGACACTTCTCCAAGGAGGAAATGCAGAGACCAAAAAGCATATGAAAAAATATTTAACATCACTTGTAATAAGGGAGATGCAAATTAAAACCACCTCACCCCAGTGAGAATGGCACATCTTCAAACAACTAGCAACAACAAATGTTGGCGAGGATGTGGAGAAAAAGGAACTCTCCTGCACTGCAGGTGGGAATGCAAACTAGTACAACCACTATGGAAAACTGTTTGGAGGTTCCTCAAACTGCTAAACATGGAGCTTCCCTATGACCCAGCAATCCCACTCCAAGGTATTTACCCAAAAGACACAAAAACACTGATTCAGAAAGGCACCTGCACCCCCATGTTTATTGCTGCTTTATTTACAATTGGAAAGACATGGAAACAACCCAAATGCCCAAAAGTAGATGACTGGATTAAAAAGATGTGGTACATATACACAATGGAATATTACTCAGCAACCAAAAAAAAATAAACAAATGCCTTTTGCAGCAACATGGACAGAGCTGGAAGGGATCATGCTTAGTGAAAAAAGTCAGAAAGAAAAGGAAAATACCAGATGGTTTCACTCATAGTAGAGGTATAAAGGACTAGGGGAGAAAATAATAGTAATAATGAACAACTACATACCAGAGACATTATACGGGGATGGGGTGGGGAATGGGAGCAAAAACAGTGGGGGGAGGGAAGCACACTGGATTATGGTGATGGCACATGGGTGATTTGGTGATGTGAAGCCCATGGGGATTGCCACTGAGATGGAAAATGGCACAAAATGATGTAAAAAGAATCTATTATATTATTTAAAACATATATATATATATATATATTAAATAGCTATGAATTGTATTTTTGTAACCAGTATTATCAGTTGAGATTAGTAAACTACTCAGTATTATTAATTACGAATACAGACAACTAGTGGTATCTTACAGCTGAAGATGCAAATGTAGTTCCAAAGTCATATACTGCGTTGTAAACCAATATTATATCAATAAAGTAAATGCTATTAAAAGTTAAAAAAAAAGAAGAAGAAGAAGAAGAAGTCCTCATGTTCACTTGAGGGGATGCTGGACCTCAGGCAAAGAAAAATGGCCTAGGTCACTTTAGGTGACTTAGACAATTCTTCAGAGTCTAATACCAGTTAACTGACAGTGATAGTCTCCCATATAAGAAAAGGGAAGACTAACAGAAAAAATACCTCAACACGTGGCCCCTTCCCCCTGCCCCCTTCAGGGCTTGAAATCTGAGCCTGGTTGGGGCAATATCCGTTTGACCCTCCTGCCCACCCCAAGTGTGCAAACACTCCCTGTCTCTGCCTCCCTGAGCTAGCTCCAGGGAACTCACTTCCCTGTGCTGCCATAGCAACCAGGAAACAACCTCCACTCACACACAATAAGGATGGTGCTGTGGCCTGATCTGTAGATGCACACAGCGGACCTACCCCCGGTAACAGAGCAACAGGGCCAGGGCACAACAAGGACGCGAGCGAGGGTGAGACAGGCTGCCCAGAGAGCAGACAATCCCCAGCTTGAGGAGTCTGGGTTTGTGGTTTATTTTTTCTCCCGACAAAGACACACACTGTCTAAACTGTGTGGCTGGTTGTTATTAAGAAGCTGCTGTATGAGGGGAAAATGTATTTAATAAAAGGCCCAGTGTTTGTGGTCTTCTTGGGCTCACTGCTGAGCTTAAGAAATCTTGAGGTGTGACCAGTTTTCAGCCTTCAAAACCAAGATGAACTGCCCTTGAGAAGGGTGGTCAGAGAGGAAACATGTTCACACTCTCTCTCCTGAGCCGGGGACATGGGAAGTTGGTCCAGAACAAACAGAAGTTAGAAGTCTATTTTGAACCAGAGGTGAGTCTTACAGCTGAATAAAGGCACATTTGGGGGGGTGGAGGTAGGAATATTCTACTTTTCTATTAGCCTTGTGCTTTTTGGTTTGGTTTGTTTGTTTGAAAGATGGGCTGGGAACAGGGGCCATAATGGATCACCACTTCTCCTTGGTGACATTCAAGGAGATAATGTAGCTTGCCTGGCACAACAGGGTTGCCCCTGGGGTCTCTTCCTTCCCTGTGCCCTTTTATTTTAGGCCAAAGTGGGTTCCAGATTGTCTAGATATGTTTTGAGGTCAGAATTTCTACCTGTGTTCTAGGAAAGCTAGTGGTTGTTTGGCTTTTAGAAGCTGTGTTCTGTGGTTGTATGTCAATGTCATTTGAATAGCTTCCTTGAACTTTCTGGAATTCAACCCACCGGATTCATATTAACATACCCACCCCCAAAATCTCATCTTAGAACATTTTAAAGCAGTGGCAAAAGTCCCTTGCTGCATTCATGGTTTGTTGCTTTTTTTTTTTTTCATTGTTGCTGAATTCTGCCAGGAATTAAAAAAATAAATCCATCTGGGGTACTTTGAAAACCTCTGGCTCACACAGAGATTTTTTTTCATTTGCGTGGTAGTTTGTCATGATATTTGACCTTCATTTTATTAAAAGACATAAAGTTTCAAAAGACCTCTGTGGCTGATGGTATTTACCTACTTACAAGATATGTAGCTACTTTATAGGCTCCTAAATAGCCAAATTAGGTAATGCTGCATAGCATCTGGGTGTACAAAAATTCTCCGTGTTCAGCTGAAGTGAAGGATTGAAATGGTTTTCTCCCATTTACACTGTCAGTTAGGCAGGTCTAATTTCAAAGTTATCTGCTACCCTTGACAATTCTGACTATTTACTTGCATACCAGGAAACTTTAAAAAGCCTACACTCTACCCTATTTAAACCTCCAAGTATGAATGACTCTCCTGAAAGTTGCATGGGGTAAATAGAACAAAGCCCTGGATTCTAATTCTGAGAGTGAGCAAAACTGCTGAGTGCCAGTGTTCTGACGGCACAGGAGCAGGTCAGAGAAAACTGCCAAGAACCGGGCCCATGCAGTGTTTGCTGTAAGTGGTTCTCCCACCTCCCACGGTGGGTCCACCATGGTGGTCTCTTTCCAATGCAGGATTACTTGAACTGGAAGTCCCCAGAAGATTATGTCCTGGTCAGCAAACCAGAGGATGAGGGCGGTGGCAGTCAGCACATGTGGAGTCTTTTTCTCCCTAAAACATTCAGCACTAGAAAGGGCACCCTGATCCTCTACTCAGAAGGCTTAGCCATATCAGCGTGGACACCCGAAGAGAGAAGGAAAGGCCCCTGCCCTCCTAAAGGCCACAGGAAGAGACCAGATCTTGAACTGCATACACTCCAGGATCTCAAGGAAGCCATCCTGGCCTACGGAAGGAGACAGGTAGGCTGAGAAATGTCCTGGGTGCAGGGCACACTCTCGCCTGTGTGTCTAGAAATCCAGTTGTGGCTTTGGGTGAATCTCTGATCAGAACCTCAGGAAGGTCGGAAATGCTCAGACCTCCCCTTCTTCATCTCTAAAATGGGATCATACTTGTGGCCTTTTCTGTCACATTCAATTGTCACAAGGTTTTAATGAATAATGTCAGTGAAGGGCTCTGGAGAGCATCAAGAGCTGTGTCACTATCATTTTGTGTCTTGCTTTCCATGAGAGTAACACTAAGTTCTTTTCAGTATTAACCACGTCCAGGCCAGCAGACAACTTATCGGAATTCTGGAAATCCTATCTCATCATCACAAGCGTCCTTGTGGGAGAGTATTTTAAGTATTTACCTAAGTAAGTCCTTTGGTGTCTGCAGGAGAGTTAATGACTTTTTCCATGCTGAATGTAATATGAAGGGGAAAACCCTGTGCTCGTGTTTCTGATTCCTACTTTCTAACCCCTTGGGAGATGTATATGTGTGATAGGACCTCGTGCATCGCTCCCTCCGCGGAGGCTCCGAGGGAGACTAGGAAGATGTTGCACTTCACTGAGACTGTGTCAGTCACAGACAGTGGTCACTGGCTAGTTGAAGACTCTGCTGGCTTCACATTTCCACAAGTTAAGCACATAGATTCTCCCCCCAAGGTCCTTCACTCACTGAATTTTTTTTTTCATTTCTAGCCACAACTCCCACTTACTCTTATCAACACCGGAGAAGAGTTCATCATTCCCTAAACGCTCCCTCCCTTTGTAACTTCACTCTTTTGCACCTGCTTCTACCACTGGCAAATTCCTACTTATCCTTCACAATTTAAAGGCCATGTCCTCCCTGATGCTTCTCCCACTTCCCTTGCAGAGATGTTTCCCTTGCGCCCCCTCCCTGAACAAGCTCAGACTGGTGGGTATTGCTGCTTATCTCTTTGCCCATCTCTTGCCATCGCCTGGAGAGAAGCAACCAGTTCCTGAGTCATTTCCATTGAATAGTGAGCACTTGTGAATGCTGAGAGTGAATGAATCAGTCATGTCTGATGCTTTCAATGTTTTTTTTTAAGATTTATTTATTTATGCATACAGATGGGTGTACAAGCCAGAGGTGCAGGGGCAGTGAGAGGATTCACCAAGAGAGTGGGGAGCAGAACAGGCAGACTGACGAAGTACACTGCTTAGGGGAGCAGTGGATAGGTCAGGAGAGGTCTGCCACGTCATGTGGGTCACCGGGGGGAAGGGGATCAAACTCGCATTGAAGCGAACTCGCACTGCAGTTAGCTTGCAGTGCTGCGTCCTAACCCATTGCGCCACCAAGAAGGGCCCTTTCAATCAATGTTTCCTAAATCGTTTCCTACTATCATTATTGAGCAATTTATTATCTTCGCCACCCTAGGCAGGGTTTCCTCTGCTCCTTTTTCTTCTTTTAAAATAGCTAATGACCAAGACCAAATAAACAATTGTCCTTTGTCTTAAAACCCTAGGATGAAAGAAAACCAACCATTGTTGCATGCTTTATTTTTCTTATAGAGTTATAAAATATACATGTATTTTATAAAAAATATTTATGTTTACATTTTTATTTTTCATTTTTATTTAATCTTCACAATGAACCTGTGAAGTAAGTCTTTTCTTGATCCCTTATAAAGATGAGAAAATTCAGACTCAGAGAACTTAAATGACTTGGCTTTTCTCAGAGGCAGAAAATGATTGAGCCAAGATTCAAAGCCAGGGCTGCCTCCCTCTCCAGGCCCAGCCTATTACATGCATTTCACCCTTTTGTTTGTGGTCCTGGAAGGAACTCCAGAAGCCATTGTGCCAGGCCTTTGCTTGATTACCCTTACCCTTATCCACTCCTCTCTCTTACCCTACTCTTTGCTACAAATATTTGTGTCAACTGGCTTTTTAGCTAACTTTGCTAGTGAAAGACATTGGAAGGAGGCTGGAAAGAAAAAGGAGAAAAGCCAAGACATTTCTTCTCTCTTTGGGGTAACAGCATCTGCACCATCTCTGAGGTCCAGTTCCCATACATGGTCCAGGCTCCTCCAGGTGACCCACCAACTCACTCCTCCTCCTTCTAGCCTAAGGGTGGCTTCCTGATGCTACTAATCTCATGTTGTCTCACCAAATGTTTGGCTTCTGAGCTCTCTCGTCACCTGTATAATCAATTCCCAGAATTAGATTCCTCAGTATTTAAATAGTTAGGGTGGCTTCTGTTTCCTTGGTTGGACATTGACCCATTTATATGCTGAATACCTTCCATAGCTTTCAGATACTTGTCTACATGGCTTGGCTATTTTGGACAACAGGGAATCTTATTGCTTTATAAAGTAGGTGATTCTACTTGGAGATGACTTCATTTTGATTAGTCTTGGGCTCAGTGAAAAAAGAAATCTCTGTCTTCCTGTGGTTTCCACCTAATAGATTCACAGGCATGCCTCTATAAAACTGAATATTATAGCGCCTACCCCCAGGATACATAGAACACACTTTGAACCATAGCAGAAGCATAGTAAATACTTTTAAAATGTTACATCAAATGGGTAGAAGGGAAATGGTAGAAGTACGCAAAAAAGAAAGAAAATTTTGAGAATAATAACAGGGCAAAAATTTTAAATGCTAAGTAAGACATACTAGATTTTAAAAAGTAACTCAAAAGGGACTTGGGAAGTAAGAAAATGAGCAGCTTGGGGGAAAAAAAGAGCTTTGGGAACTACAGCACACCATCTGATTATGAAAACTATAGACTGGCAAGAAAATTTAAAAATCACAATATCCAGGGCTGGAAAGGATATGGAGATGTAAACTATCCCATATTTTTGGAGCACAAGTCCTCATGACATTTTTGGAGACCATTCTGGCAAAAGTCTAAAAAGGTTGAAACTCTGTGATTTAGCATTCTACTTATAAGAGTTTTCCTTAGAAAATAACCAGAGATGTGCCCAAAGATTTATGCACATGAATGTTTACTACAAAGTTATTTATTACAATGAAAATAACTAATGTCCAACAATGGAACATTGATTAAATACATTATAGTACAATCATATAATGGATTCTGGATCAAGTAGTAAAGACATATGTTAGTCATGAGTAACATGAGAAAATATCCACAGTGTTATTTTAAAGCAGATTACAAAATAGCATTCATAAGATTATAATACCAATGCTCATTAACATTTTTTGAGTATTTACCATGTTTCTGTCACTGTTCTAAGTGATTTCTAAGAATCCTGGAGGTTAGTGCTATTGTTATCCCATTTAAAGGTGAGGAAATTGAAGCACAGAGAAAAATTTCTCAGTCAAAATGGAACAGCCAAGTAGATTGCACCAGATTCAAAATCAGGCATGTAGAAAGCCTCACCTCTCTAACATAATCCCAACTTTTAAATATGAGTTATACATACAGAAGGACATCAACATTTAATTATGGGTAGTGTGATTATGTGATATTTTTATTTATGCATATATTTTCACCAAGGTGTTTTTAGTCATAGAATTTTTAAAATAAAATTAAAATCACTGACTTTGAAGGATGTGGCTAGTGAAAGGGAGAGAGGTTGATTTAGTGCGCCAGGTCGGGTCAGGAAGGGAAGGGGTCTAACAAGAAGTGTTCTCCACAGACCCCTGCAATAGCCACACCATCTGCTCCTCAGGGTTCAGTTTTTCCTTGTCTAAAGAGTACAGCTCTTTGCCTCAAAAAAGCACACTCAAAGTACAAGAACAAAAGTGAGGAAAGAAAAGTGGGAGGTGGCTCCCCAATGAATCACTGCTTACAGAAGGCGCGAGGCTGAAACGTGTAGCAAGAAGGCTACGTACCTACACAGCTGCCCTCAGACCTGTGGGAACTGAGCTGTCGCAGGGAGGTGCAATTAAATTTTTAAAGCATCTCATATCATCTCCAGTTCTATATATGGATCTAATGACATGCATGTGGCAATATGTCTGGGCTTTATAGCTCAGCCTACTCCTGCTTTTAAACTTTCTTGATGGCTCAGCTTCCTCAGGAGTAAAACTGTTAAGGAATTCAATGTCAGAATACTCACACTTCCATACTTCTATATAGCTATGTTGTTGCTTTCTTTTTTTTTACCAGAAAGAAATACTGTCCAAACATTAGAAAGTTAGATGCATCCTTTTTGAGGCCTTCACTTCAGTTTCTTCTTCTTATTTTTTTTTTAAAGATTTATTTATTGTGCATACAGAACTGGGGTACAGGCCAGAGGCTCAGGGGCAGTGAGAGGCTTCACCAGAGACAGAGTGGGGAACAGAACAGGCAGACGAAGTACATTGCTGAGGGGAGCAGCGGGCGGGTCAGGAGAGGTCTGCCACGCCATGTGGTCTTCTCCGGGGCAGGCGGGATTTGAACTCATGCAGAAGTGGCTTTAGATTCTCAGTTCTGTGCTTTAACCCGCTGCGCCACCAGGGAGGGCCCCAGTTTCTTATTATTTAAAAATCAAATAGCTATAAAACCTAAATATCCATAATTTAAGGTAGTTATCTCAATGATAGAATAATGAGATTCTTGAAGCATAACACAATCCTAAAGTGACTCTCAAATCATCAGATATATGAAATAATATTCATAGCATTTATTATTTTTATTCTCATATTTTCAGAATTTTATAAATCCAGGCATATATCTAAAAATCCAACAATGGGGCACTGAATGAATAATGTATTAAAAACAATTTTTAAAGCATTCAATTCACAAGACAGCCCATGTCTCTATTCCTTGGAGGAATAAACAAGATTTAAATTGTATAGTTGATTTCAACTAAGGTTGCATTGCTCCTGTCATCTCCCTTATAATTGTGGTTTCATTTAAAAAGATTGCCAACCTTTTCCCACTAAATATATCCCTCATTCTTTACTATCTAATTTCTCCCTGCATCTCAACACTAAAAGCACTTAACTCTTTAGTTGGCATTTTTAACCAATTCCCAACCATAACCATTACTATTTTAATATTGGAT